AGTGCCGAGGAGCGGCGCTACTGGAGCAACCCAGCAGCACCCCAGCTGCTCTGCCCCAGGCGTCCTGATTTAGCCGCTGCTGAAACTGACCAGCGCTGACTACATGAAGCCCGAGGCAGAGGTGCTCTGCCCCAGGCTTCCTGGAATCAGCTGCTGACCAGTTTCAGCAGCAGCTGACTTGGGGACGCTTGGGGTTCTTAAGTTGAATCTGTATGTAAGTCAGAACTGGCGGTCAGTTTCAGCAGCGGCTGAATCGGGACGCCAGTTCCGACTTACATACAGATTCAACTTAAGAACAAACCTACAGTCCCTATCTTGTACGTAACCCGGGGACTGCCTGTAGTTAAGACAAGTAGATTTTACCTCAAATAAATACATCAATATATGACCAGACAGAGGGTCATAGTTTGACCTCAACTAGTTGCATTGGAGGTGGTAAAATCTATAGCAAGTGGTTTCTGCTATTTTTTTGTATATTGAGATAGCTATTTTGATGTAAAAATACACCTTTTTATTTTGCAGAGGATTAGTGGAGGGTAGAAGGAAATTGGTGACTAATTTAGTGCCTTCCTGTACACAGTCAGCACCCATCTACACTTACCTGCACCATCAATCTACTGCAGCTACACTATTTATATGTGATATACATGTGAAGCTTACTCACTGAGACTAGCGTGCAGTAAGGTTGATGGGGGCTGCCCTCCCGTCAACACTGGCTATTCTTCTCATCTTGGTGGAATACAAGCGTCGACGGGTCACTCTCAGATATCGATTGATCATGTCAACAGCAGGCATAATAAATCGACACCTGGTGGATCGATCACTGCAGTGTGGAACCACTGCATAGTGTAAATGAGGCTTTAGTTACTAGTTAATTCTCAAAACATCCCAGATGAAGTATGTTTTTCAGTATTTTTACAATTTAATTTTGTTTCTCATCTGCACAAGAGTTTAAGCAAGGAAAAGCAGACAGATTCTGATTTCCGATGGCATGATCAGAACACACCTCAGTTTAAAAAACTATAAAAGCCAATTTCTTACAAGTGCAACAATATAAAGAGTTATTTAAGGTGTGACCCTATCATGTGCTATAAGTAATTGAAATTAGAGAAGTCTTAGATGTTACCTGTGGCAATAATAGTTAAAATCCTTTATATAGCAGCATTGGTTTTTGGTGTTTTTTTAAAAAGTATCTAATTAAAATCACATCCAAAAGGCTTTGTGGACACACATGACAATGCTTATAAACATATATATTGTGTTAGTTTCAAAATGTGACTTTTGTGACTACTTCTCTCTGTTCTGTTATCTTCTAGAAGGGAGGACTGAGTTTTACAGGCCATGGGAAGAATGAATAATTTCAGAAGGGACTGGATGGAGAAGAGTGTGCTGCTCTACAGTTTTCTAGGATTTAGACAAATATTCTAAACTCCAGCCTAACCTGCTCCTGAAGTGCAGAATTTGTAGCATCAAGTTTCTGTTCTAATGATAATACTTGCTCTTCATACTTCTGCTTCAGTGCTGCAACTACGGTCTCATGCTGTTCTCTCGCTCGCTGAAGAGAGTCAGAACGTCTAAGCTCTAATAGCTGCTGCTGCATGCTTTCCATGGCTAACTCTGCCACTTTAGACTGTTTGAAGAGCTACAAAAAACAAAAACAAACACACAATATACAATACTTGAGTTCAATTACAAAAAGTTATGGAGATATAAAGGCTTCAAGAGAAGTGACTGCACAGTTAGGAAGTCCAAAGTTAAACTAAGTTTTCATCTACCATATATTTGAGAGAGTTTGTCTGTTTAAGAAATCCTCCTATATGGTAAGAGCTAGGACCATCCAAATTTGGTATACAGCTTCTTCTCATAACTTAAAGCTACATAAGGGTTTAGTTGTGCTAGAAAAATGTAGTGTCTGGAATGGGATTGCTTCTCATAAAGCTGTACAGAAAAGAGATAGAATCACCGGTAGGTAAAAGGGCTGGTTAGGGTGCATCCCTTCCCCACATTTAGGACTGCCACAGCCCTGAGCCTCCCATCCCCCAGTTGCCCTTTAGGTACAATGTAGAGGGGGACTCAAGCTGATTTGTATGGGAATGTTGCTGGCTGTTCTTCAGGGAGTGAGGGGAAGTGCACAGTTGCTGCATTCCTCACTCTGGCTGGAGTGTGCAGGGGGTAGATAAACCTGGACCTACCCCAGCCGTGCCCACCAGAGCTGCAGGAGCCATGAAGAGGCACTTCTCACCTGGCCTCAAACTGCTGCAGAGAGAGAGAGAGCTGGGGCAGTCCTCTCTCCCTGGGGCAGCCTATCCACTGAATCCATCATCCCCAGCCTCAACCCAGAGGAATGATTCAAAATGAAGCATGTACATTTTTATTTTATTTTCCAAAAAACAAAAATTGAGTTAAGGACACAAGCAATGCCATGTAATCTTCTAGTAGATTCATAAATTTCAAGGCCAGAACCGATTACTGTGATAATATAGTCTGAACTCCTAACTTCCCCCAAAACAGTTCCTAGAGCATCTCTTTTAGAAAAAAATCCAAACCTGATTTAAAAATTGTCAGTGATGGAGACTCCACCATAGGGTTGATAAACTGTTCCAATGGTTAATTACCATTATTATTAAAAACTGACACCTTGTTTCCAGTCTGAACATATCTAGCTTCAACTTCCACTCCTTCGATCTTTTTCCTCTCTTAGGGCAAGTCTACACTAGGAAATTATTTCAAACTAACTTATTTCAAAATAATAACTCCCAAAATAACTGTTTTGAAATAAAAATTATTCCTTGTGGAAAACAGGAAATAACAGGCTTGGTAGTGTGGATGCTTCGCTAGTTATTTCGAAATAATTCGCTAGTGTAGTGTAGACCAGGGCTTAAATTGAAGGGCTTACTATCAAATAATTGTTCTCCCATGAAGGTATTTAATTAGAAGGTACTTAAGTCACCCCTTAACCCAGAGTTTGGCAACCTTTTCAAACCAAAGAACCAAACTACAGTAAAACTCCAATAGTCAAAGTAAACACAAGTCAAAGTAAATATGATTCTCCTGAGTCAGCTGGGATGACATTGTTTTCTAAGAGATCAGTCCTGCTGGAAATCCTGTGCATATGCACACACAAGTGCATATTATAAACAGCTCTTGACAACTCTATTTTTAACCAGAAGTGTATGTTTGTTACTAAAAAGGCAACACTATAGGATCCCTCCTTAAAAAGATGAATTAGCAGGAACCAACAAAAAATTGGAGCACAAGTTCATCTCCTCGGGTGTATTCTAATCAATTGTTGGGGTACTCTGGCTGTCAGAAAGATCCCCATTTCTTAAATATTATTTACATATTATGCTTATGCATCTTTTTGATAAATAGTTTAGCGGGTCAGTATTTTTATGAAGAAAATTTAAAATTCTTCTAGATTGTCCCCATTAGGTATACATTTTGTTATGAATATAGACAAGTGAGATACAACCTCAAACAAGCATTTTATAAAGTTACCACCATTGCTTCTGCAATCCTTATACAAGCGTAACTCCTATTGACTTTGTAAAGTCACATTCCAGCCTCACGGGGCCTGATTCATAGTCATTCTACCCTTTGCAACAAGTTTTTAAGAGCAATAGGGCAGCAATACAACTATAAGAACCCTCAAAAGAAATTCTTCCAATGCAGAAGGCCCTCTCTAGCCATACATAAGAGTCTTCAATAAAAGGGGCATTCTAGACTGTGCTCTGGGGATGAAGGGGACTTTTCCAACAGCAGAAAGAGAAGTGACCAGGAAAGTCGTACGCCATGTTTATTTCCTGGATGCCACAAAGCTGAGGGAAGATAAGACAGCCTTTAAGGATACTCTATGTGTATTAAAAGATCAAATGGCCCCAGCAGCTTGAGAATTAGGGGAGTCAGAGTGCAAGCCACCCTATCTCCATCCCTTAGCCAGGCACTAGACATGCCACATACAAAAAATAAACAAATCTCATTGGATTAACTTTATGATCCAAAATCACAACAATGTTCCTCCCACTTCAATAGCCGAGAGGCACTTAAAGACCATTATAATCTGTTAATGATATCCAAGAGCTTCAAAACTAGGGATGTTATATATCGGTTAACTGAATAGTCAATTAACCTCATTAATTCTTATTGGTTAGTCAACTATTCTATACTGTAGTCCCAAGGGGTGGGGCCAGCAGCCAAGGAGCCCCTACCACTCTGCATTGATACAGAGGCAGCAGCATGGGGTTCCAGGCAGGAGCCAGTCTAAAAAAAAAAAATCAGTTAATTGACTATACTATGACATCCCTAGTCACAACCATAATTTTCAATGTATTTATCTTTCAGAAAGTAAAAACATTCTCAAGTCACAGAGACAGAGCAGAAACAAAGAAGACCTTGTAACACATGCTTGGGGGGGATGAGGAGGAAAGCGACAAACAAAAACAAAGTGCTCAAATGAGCCATAATAAGAGATGCCATTAACATCAGAACCTGTTTAAAAAGATAAATAAAATAGGTTTTTCATTGAGATGTGATTTATCAGCTAATACGATTCATTTAAGACCAAGGGTATTGGAGATCTCATTACAGAAGCTTCATCTTTAACATGCAGCAGTGAAAGAGTAACACTCCATCATAGCCACTGCAACACTTCTTTTAAAGGCAGTTAGACAGGATTTCTGATATGCAGTAAATGATGCATTAACAGAACCACCAAAATATCTGAGAAACCATGGATTTTATACTTCCAAATTGCAATTATAAAACTAAAGAATAAATATTTAAAATAGTTAATCATATTTACCTTTCTTACTAGGTTTTTTGGGTCAACAGTCCATAAGAGTGGGGAAATTTTGCTAATTCAGTCTGGATTATAGATTATAATCTATGATATTTTACACTAGACGTTTCAACTCATTCTCATCTACTCTGGGTCTTAAATAACATTGGCTGGAGTGCTTCTAAAAGAGTATATTAATCTTTGTTAAACTGAAGATTCACTTTGTATCCTAAGTACAACTACAGACATTTTTCACGGTTACAGTTAATAATTACAGTACCTGCTCCTCATTGGCAGTAAGAGTTTGAATTTGGGTTTCCAGTGCTTTAATTTGACCTTCAAGATGTACCTCCCGTTCTTTTCCATTTTGATACAGTTTTTGGGATTCCTGGAGGCTAAGGGCCAATCCATCCTTTTCATCTTACAATAGAAATAAATATTTAAGCATTATAGTAGTTGTAAGAGGAGTTCTACCATAAGCCTTTCTGGAAGACTATTCATTCGGTACCTGGGTCTGTGAGTATAATGCTTTACGGGGCACCTCTTCCCTCAGCCTAATGAGCTGGAGAAAGCAGAGCAGCCTGTATCAACCCGGCCAGCAGAGGGGCAGGGAAAAACCCAGCCAGGATCCCCTGCACTCTCAACATCCTAGTATAAAGAAACACCTTTCTATTTGCACAAGCAACCAGCACCATCACATGCAGTAAGAGTCAGGATGGAAGAAACAAAATAGGATCTCCCAGGAAATGAAAAACAGGGACTTGCCTAGAAACTACCAGGGATTTTAGCAGACAGGTTACTGTTTGAACTTTGGTCATTATTTTCTGTTTGCTGCTTGCTTTTTTTGCCCCCATTTCTTCTCCTCCCCTCCTTGCTACAATTCTGCCTTACCTCACTTCTAACCCCACACAAAGGGATTAAGTACAACAAAGACAAAATTGTGCCCATCAACAATGTTCCCTCAAATTTATTCCATCCACGTGTGAAATATATATTATATATTATGTGCACCAAGGCATGTGCAAATATGCACCACCAACAGAAACACATGCTGCCGGTTGTGTTAATCCACTGCGCAGTATTTGGACGGCCACTCAAGCGCACACCTTACAGGGAACATTGCCAATTAACACTGAACATTGTCTCAGACGTATCTCTGCTTTCTACCCTTTATCTATTTTTTTTTACTTTTAGACCAGACTCTCTGGGGCAGAGACCACATTATTTAAACCCTGTAGAAGTATACAGGACACAGTGCAGCTCCAGATCCTGATGGAAGCCTCTAGCAATGAGGTTGTGGACTCTCCATCTCTGGAGATATTTAAGAGCAGGTTAGAAAGATATCTATCAGTGATAGTCTAGATGGTGCTTGGTCCTGCCGTGAGGCCAGGGGACTGAACTCTTATGACTTCTCAAGGTCCCTTCCAGTTCTAGCGTTCTATGATTCTAATGTGGCATTCATTCTCTTCAGTATCACCATGGAGTTCAAGAAATTTCATTCATATAGCTATAAATATTTTTTAAAAATTAAGTTAAAAATAACCAAAGAGGTATTGAGTTAAGCCTCAATTTAGGAGAGCATTTAAAGTTAAGAATGATCCTGAACAGAATACTTTCCTGACTTAAGACCTTAATATGATAACATCAGGCACAAGTAATTCAGTGATCAAATTGCTCACTGCACCCAAGTTAACAGCTCTCTCTGGAACCAATGGGTTGTACTAACCTATCTAGAGGAAGCACTTGGTTACTATCCAGCTGAAAATAAAATGGCACAAAGAGCAGCAATTTAGCAGGAAAGAAAAATGACTCTTCCTTTCTACACATTTCTCTTGTTTTCCTTCCTTTCACTATTATTAAAATGACAGGGTCTAAGTAAGTAAATAATTCACTAGCCAATATTTTAGAATTGGGATACAGATTAATGGCAAGTGATTTATTTAATAATCACAGAAATCAGTCATGGCGAGTAATGCATGTCAAACAGATGAGAAAGTACAGCAGTAAGGTTGAATTTGGTACTTGTTTGCTGAATTCTTCTTCTTTGGTTATCCATTTGTTAGGTGTCTTGCACCTTCCTCTGAAACAGTGGGTATTGACCACTGCCAGAAACTCCTCTGATCCAATGTGCCCATTCCTATAGTCTTTTTAAAAGTATAACCTAAAGCAGGATTGGGCAATAATTTTTGGTGTGGGCCACTCCAAGATTTTGGAAAGTGGTCAAGGGCTGCACTTTTCTGTGGAGGAGGTGCAGGGTCTAGGATAGTACAGAAGGGCACATGGGGTAAGGGACTGGGGTGCAGGACATGGTGTGAGTTTTGAGAGGGAGTTTGAGTGAAGGAGGGGGTTGTGACCAAGGTCAGGGCAAGTATTGAAATGTAGGGTCAGGGAAGGAGTATGGGTGCAGGAGACAATTCTGGTCTGGGGCAGGGGATATAGAAGGGGGTCCAGGAGGGAGTTCTGACCTGGAGCGGAGGGGTGCAGCGTGTTTGGATGGTGACCTGGGGGAGGGAGTTGGGGGAATAAGAGGCAGGAGTGCCAGAGGCAGGCTCTGGCTGGGAGGCGCTTTCCTAAGCGTCTCCCGGCCAGCAGCCCTACAACACCCCTAAGGCAGGCTAGGCACCCTGTATGCTGCAGCCACAGAACGCTTAAAACTGCAGGCTGTTCCCTCCAGATGGCTCTCAGCTGCGGGAAGCGGAAGAGGCTTGCGCTGCCGCTGTCCCCCAGGGCAATCTCTCCGCTCCTCTTAGCTGATTGTTTTCAGCCAATAGGAGCTGAGGATTGGGCTGGAGGCAGGGAGATCACACGAAGCCTTCCCCTCCCTCCAGATCAGAAGGGCACATGGAGCAGCCCCTCGCTAAAACAGTGACAGCTGCGTGCCCAAGGGTGCCAGCAGGGTGTCCGCAGGCTGGATCCAGTGCCTTGGCGGACAGAATCTGGCCCGCGAGATGCATCTTACTCACCCCTGACCTAAAGTGTGAAAACAGTTCCAGTGTAGCTCTAAGTCTTCAGCTATCCACCAGGGGGCTAAATATCTGCTGTATTGCAGCGCCTAAGTGCATGCAGAGGGGATATAAAATGCCAGCAAAATAGAAACCAATTGTTTGAACTGCTGAAAGTGCTTTACACCCCCATTGTATAAATGACTACAAAAGGTACAGGGGGGATAATGCTCAGATTCTGAACCCAAATCAAGTTTGCAAGTATAATCAGCATACGATAAACAGAAATTTATGAGTACATTAAAAGTAGTTAGATCTCAGGAGATTCTAGAAATTAAAGCTCCATATAAATTTGTTTTACCTTTGACCATTGCAAGCTGATGATTCAGATACCTAATCTGCTGTGTACTCTTTTCCATCTTTTCAGTAAGTTCTTCCAGTTGTCTCTCTCTTGCTTTATTAAGAACCTGAAGTTGAAGAACCTGCATATTGTCCGCAGAATCTGTCAAAGTTTAAAACATAACTAATTTTGAAACAAGCTAGCTTTTGAAAAGTGAATGACATTCTTACAGTGCAATTAACTTGTCCGAATTAGATTATAATGTTTTTGGGGCAGGAACCATTTAGCTTCTGAAAAATGCCAAATTCCTTATTGGCGCATGATAGGTAACTCCAAAACAGAGAAAAAAAAATATACAACTTGCTTACTAAATGAAGAGCACCAGCTCATAGTCCCACCATTAAAGCTAACATTGTAATTCCAGCTTAAAGAGTTGTAGCTGTCACCAATTAATAGAACATTCATATGTTAACATTGGTGTACTTAACTAAATTGGCAGAGTTCCATTCCCAGTCATCTAGAGACATCTGATAGCTCTCCACTAAGCCTACAGATTTGAGAAACATTTATTGGACAGGAAGGTAAACCATTCAATGCCCAATCCTGTAAGCACCAGAGTGACTCCAAATAAATACTGAACAAGCACCACATCTGCACTATGAGTGCTAGAGCTGCATAGCTACAGTACTGTAATTATACTGTTGTAACTACATAGTAAAGACACAGACTACAGATTTGACCCCTGTGATATGGGCTTCTGGCAATATCTGTGTATGGAATAACAATGTTACGTGTAGTGTAATTGACTAATCAAGTAGTTGATGATTTGTGCATCGATTATTCAATTAGTTGATAGGGTGGTGCTACCCCTTTGAAATGCCACCACAGCGTTTCAAAGGGGCAGCGCAGCATGGAGCTCAGGTTCCCCCCCCTTGCTGCCTCTATCTGACAGAGGCAGAAAGTGAGGGGAGAGGGGGAGAGAAGTGACTAGTCCTTAACATCCCTAGTCTGGAACCACCATGGGTGCTCCCAGGCTGGAGCTTTTTTTCCCCCTACAGGAAAAGCCAGGCTCTGCACTCAGCAACTCCTCCCCCACCCTTCCAGAGCAAGCTATTTGCCATGCTCAAGATCAGGGATGGAGGGGGAGGGGTTAGGGACAGGAATGCTAAGGGGAAGATTCAGAGTGGCTGTGAAGCCCCAAGGCTGGAGGCAAGCAGTGCAACTGGCAGCAGGGACCAGGAGCACAGCCCAACTGCTGCATGGGTACATGGAGCTTTGCATTCACCCTGCCTCTTGCCTGAAGTGCCCCTTCTAATCTCCATTTGGTCAATGCCAGCCTCTCTGCTGCCACCAGAGCTGGAGCCCCACAGCCAGTGGCAGCAGAAGAACTGGCTTTGACCAAGTGGGAAGGGATGAAAAGGGAACACTAGGGGCGGAGGGAGAGAGGGGGATCTATTGTTTTTTCATTGTAATAGGAAGAAACTAATATCACCTCAATGAACTATCCTTCAATAAAAAAAAATAGAAGAAAAGTTAGGATACGTCTATGGTATCACTGTATTTTTTCCTGTGTGCTCTTGTTTAACACTGAAGTCCTCAGTGGGACCAGGATTTCATCCCAGGATACCTATGAAAGCTTGAACTAGATAACACTTACTCCTCTCAGTATCCAAAAACTCCCGTTGCAGCTCTTCAAATACTTCATTTCTTCTTGACGCTTCCTGTGTTATTGGGACATTTTGCTGAACAGCACTTTGATATGGTTTATATGTCACTTTGTAAGATTCCATAGTTTGGCCATTAGCAACTTCAGATGCACCAAATTGCTGTTACGACAACAGATTAAAAGTAAGAACAACTGAATTAAAACTACCCTCACCTTGCACAGCAAAAGTATTTTCCCTTTGGATTTACAAGGTTTGATATTAAAAAAAGAGTTGCAGAGGCTCATTATTTAGACCGCAATCTATCAAAGCACTTAACTGCGTGTTGTCTCAGTGAAATCAGAATGATTACACACTTGCTTTAGTGCTTTGCTGAATGGGCCCTTATTGCAAAGTTTAAACAGCCAATATAAAATCAGTCCATTTAGTACCACTCTAGTGCTAATTATCCTAAAACCAACACTACATTTTTATTTTTGAAAGTTCAGATATTAACTCTGAGTTATTTTAATATGATACATTGATTGCAGAAGCATATCATGTTGTAACAACTGAAGATAGAATCAAAAAAAATGTAGGACTGGAAGAGACCTTGCACTGAGGCAGAACCAAGTATACCTATACCATCCCTGACATGCACATATTTAACCTGTTCTTAAAAACCTACAATAATAGGGATTCAATTAGTAATGGAATAGGTGACTCAGGGATGATAACTAGCCTTATTGTAAGAAAGCTTTTCCCCATAAATCTGTTACAAATTAAATGTATTACATGGTGTTATATCATCAGTGGACACAGAAGACAATTGATCACTGTCCTCTTTGTAAAATCCCTTAACATATCTGAAGATCTCTCCCTCTCTCAACAGAAGCTGGTCCAATAAAAGATGATAGTCTCTCGCCTACTTATCTCTCTAATCCTAGAAGCAAACAGCTACAACTACACTGTATACATTATACCACCTAATCAGTTTCCTTTCCTCAAAGGTCAGGTTTTCTAAACCGTTTTTTTCCCTCTCCTCTGTACTCTCTCCAATTTATCCATACCTTTTCCAAGTATGCTGGCCAGAACTAAACACAATCCTCCAGCAGAAGCCTCACTAATGCAGAGTAGAACATATCAATTACATCCAATGTTTTACATTCAACTCTCCTATTAATACCTCAGAATGATGTTAGCCTCTCTCACAACTGAATCACATTATTGGTTCATATTCAGTTTGTGATCTACTATAATCCCCAAATCCTTTTAGCAGTATGCCCATTATTCCCCTATCCTGTGTGCATTTGATTTTTTCCCCTCTATATGTAATACACTGCACTACATCTAGATCTTCTAAACTGAAAGCAGCTAAAATTACTACTCTAGCATCAACACTTAAATCATTACAAACAAGATGGAAAACATTAATATTTTAAATACCTTCAAATGTTCCTTTGGAACATCCGGAAACTTTACTGTTTTGTTTTGTTGGTTATTAAATTCCTGTGTATGGCCATTTGTGTATGGTCTAAAATTTTCTGGGAGATGATATACATTGTTCTGTTGGCAGTGACTTGGTGTATTATACCCATCTCTGCCAAGATACACATCAGGATCCTCTTCACGTTGGCTACTAGAGTAGTCCTCTTTAATTTCATAAATGCATCTTTCTTCTTCTATATTATGCTGGTCAGTCCAATTACTTGCATGTGTTTCTCCATGATTATGTAGTTGTTTATACAGGAACTGTTCAGGATACAACTTCTGTCCCTGTTCGTAACCCTATGAACAGATTAGAGATTTAATAGTTTTCCTTTCCCGAACTGTTGCCTCATGTTTTCCTCTTCAATTACAAGCTTGTCAGAACAGGCAACATGTATTGGTATTTGTTTGTAAAGCACCATTCAAGTTAATACTGTGCCCTATAAATAACTAGATCAAAAACAAGCTATTCCGAATGAGAAGACCCGATTATTTAGTCATAATTTTATCAGGCGTTTACACTTTGGGGATTCGTTACCAGAAGATGATCATTCCATCTGGCCTCATGCTCCCAAGGTTCATGTGCTCTATAGAGAAAAAGAAAATAGATAATGAAATATTAATAACCCTACTGGTATATGTGTGTGTATATGTACGTACATGTTCTCAAAAAGAGAACTAGATTAAACTATTTAGTAACTACTCAATTTAGTGTAAAACCTAAGACACAATTAAGTTGCAGTATTCTCCCATTTTTTGTATAAGTCTATCTGCCCATAGCTGGATCTTCACCACACTTTTTAAAAAGCATATAAAATGAATATCAAGAAAAATTAACTTTCTTACTGCTTTGCATCCTCATGTATGCTACAATCAGAGTAATTAGAGAGCTGGTCTCCACTGTCATCCAGCATGTCATGGGGAAGGTCTGTTAGTAGTTGTTGCAACTGAAATCAGACATGTTTCATAAGCACACATTAATACAGTACAATTTACTCAAGCTCTTTTGAAAACATAAACAAACTAAAAGTGTCACACACACCTTAGAGACTGAGAAAATACCACATTGACGTAAAACCCAATTTTCCCTCCACTGAAGAGATGCCACTCAGTTACCACAGGGCCACCATGGCAACTCAGGGCCACGTTTAGGTTAAGGATGCTTATTTATTGGGGGAATTACTACCCTGGTGAATTCTTTGGCAGGTACTTGCAAGATGTGACTTGTGCTGAAGAGCTACTGGATCAAGTGCCACAGAAATGTCTCTTTTTGGAAAGCTAACTTACTAGAACCTTTTCCCCCATACAAAGGTGCAATCCTTGGGTGCTACCACCTCAGCAGGATTAGTTAGTGGATAATAGCGGAGGGTTTAACAGTCCTTTACTTGCAGCTATGAAGCATATGGAGTGAAATGCTGATTACAGAGAGCTCTTCACAATGTAGTATACACAGCCTATCAAAGGGCTGCAGTAATCAAAGAGCTGTCCATATGTTCAAGTAGAACAGAGAGCAGAGCAGTCAGGCACTGACTGAGAAAATCCAACAAATTCAAATCCAGGAAAGAAAATTCTGTTGCCCTTGTCCTAGTGGAAGCCCAGAATGAGAATGGAAGTGGTGATGATTAATGTTCTAAATTACTGTATATCAAGAATAGGCAATGAAATCAAAACTGTAACATGTAAAAGTGTCACTTTGCCCACTTATATGCAGTTTACCAGAGAACACTCAGCTTCAAGGACTCTATTTCACTAGAGGGATTTCAAGGCGAGCTCGCTGATGGTGAGAAACCATCAGCTGAACACGACTGAACACTGGAATAGGCCTTTCAGGAAGGAAACTAGTACAGCAACAAAAATGTCCTTCATAATATTGGCAAATGATTTTACTGGCAATAGCTGCAGTCTTGAAGATCAAGTATACTAACCTCTCTACCGGATGGAGGCTGCCGATAGAAGAGTGGCAGAATAGGTATACAATATATCTGGAAAAATATCTGTGTATAAAGTGTATGTATTGGTGCATAAGATGAACTTATGGAAGATCTGTCCTTTTCTCTGGGCAAGGTATCTCTTCTGAGAGTCAAAAAGAGTTATTCCTGGGCAATCTCTGACTTGGGCCCAAGAGTTGCAGTTGTTGGTCAAAGGCAGTTAGTGTTCCCCAGTCTATAGATGGTAGGTACAGCAGTCAGACTATGCCAGGGATGGGCAAAACGTGGTCCGGCCAACCAGCCTAAAACTTTGATCCAACCAGCGGACTACAACTGGCCACTTTCTATTCATATCCTACTGCCTGTGCACTGAATTTCCAGGCAGTGGCTCAGGCAGCAGGATCCTATTTAAATGGCTGCCAGTTGCAGTGCTATCCCAGCAGAAGCCAAAGCTACAAGTCTCTTAAATAGCTGCAGCAGCGCTATTCGATTGCCTAGTAGTGCTGTAGTGAAAAGGCCGAGAGCTGCAAGCCCTTTAAATTGCTGCTGTTTAAAGGGGTTGCAGCTCCCAACCCTGCCACTACTGCATTGCCTTGCAGGTGCCCAGGTTGCTGCAGCTATTTAAGGATTCCCAACTCTGGCCCTTACCAGTTTAGCACCGTGACTATGAGCCCTTTAAATTAGGCTTATCAGGTAGTCAAGTCGATTCCTTCCATTTCCCCCCCTTTGCTGCATCTATATCAGAGGCAGCAAGGGGTGGAGATGGAGAGGAGAGCAGGAGCCGGTGCTGGGGAAAGCCAGCTTAAAAGCTGGTTCCCCCCCAGTGCCATCTCCGCTGGTGGGGGGCTGAGGAGACAGAGGCCCTGTTGTGCTGTGGCTCTGCCTTTTAAATGAAGTAAGAGCCACCCAGCTCTTATTACATTTAAAAGGCAGAAGCCGCAGCAGTCTAGTCCTGGCTCGCACTGGGTCCCAGACCTACTCCCACTGTAGTTTAAACATAATAGTACATGAGCTGCCTGCACGCCCGGCTCCTACTACATTTAAACTGTATGCCCACAGCGGCCCCTTATTGACTAATCGTGTACACAATACAAATTGTATTCAGTACACAATTAATCATTTACACGATACTTAACATCCTTAGTCCCCAGCCCCACCTCTTCTACCCCAGGACCCAACAGGGGAGGGAAGGGTAGAGCTGGCCCATTACCAGTTCCAAAATTCATTAAGTGGCCCTCCAGCAAAAATTATTGCACACCCTAAGACTATGCCATATATGCGGTTTATTCACAAGTCAAGGCTATTTTATTTAGAAAGTTTACTGGGTAGATTAGGGTATGGGATGGTTATAATGTAAATAAGTCAAACCAAGAATAACTAAAAATGTAGAAAAATTTAGAATAGTACTTATATTGTCGTTCACCCTTCTGTACAAACATTAACTAAGCCTCTCAACTCTCCCTAAAAAAAGGAATTGTTTATACTTCTGCAGTCAATGCAATTGATAAAACAATATAAAAAGACTTATTATTTTAAATAGTATGTCTTTTAAAAAAAATTATGAGATCTCCTTTGACATGTTATTTAGCTAAGCTTCATCAAGGCAAATTGGTTCAAAGATTTTAGGAGAGGCACCAAAATGCATTATCATATAATCTTTCCTAAAGCAGTCTACCCTGACTTTCCCACATTTAGTGGTTACCTTTGCCCACAGAAATTAATTTTTAAAAATAAAAATAATCTTCTGTACTTACATGGAGTAAGGAATCATGTATAGAATGTACTTGTTCTTCCAAACCTTCAGAAAGGTTTCCATATATAGCCATATATTGACCCTCAATTGGTAGATCTGGGCAATACATTCTCTCTCTCTCTCAAAAGGATACTAGAAAGCTACACAACAATTAATCAGTTATTGCATCTAGTGTCTGCACCCAATGTTTGTTCTTCTCTAAACCAGCAATAAGTCAACATATACTTGTTAATTAGAGCAGAAACCAGCTGCTATACATGAAGTACAAAAAAAAACAAAAACCCTGAATGTAGCAGTTACTACCATGACAAAAAGATAAAAATTAGTGTAACCATCCCCTTCAAAAAAAACTTAACCTCCTTTTGAGATCCAACTCACAAACTGCTAAATCTTCACTTAAAAAAAAAGCCCTCAGCTGCTTCCTAAAGACTTCACTTAAACACAAAGAAAAAGGCTGGAAGCAAGGGAAAACATCTTTCTAAACACCACCACCTGATCACTTAAACCTTTGCTTATTTCCAGTCATTCACCTATGCTATGGACAAGTTACATAAAACAAGTGCCTTCTAGTCTTTCAACCTGAGACAATACAATGTGCAATTAAATAACTCTGAAACCTACAGCAAAATACTAAAGAAAATGGAGATGCACCTTCTGCAGAATTCTGCTCTATTCAAATTGAAAGGATAAACTTTTACCTCTTCAAAATCTTACTGGACTTCAGATATTTCTATAGCTTTATCATTTCCAGCCAGAGAAGATCAGGAATAGAGAGCAGCACCATTCAAAGCACCAAGACTTTCCTTTTCTCTAACCACAACTGGGAAGTAACAATTTTATGGCCTCACCTTGGGGCAGAGACTTACATCTGTAGAAGGAACTGAAAAGCAGTGAACACAAGAAAAGAGAACTTGGCTTATAAAACAAATGCAATGGCATTAAATAAATAACTATATTAAACTGATGTCAAAGCATCCTAAAAATACTAACGCCAAGTGAGAGATGAAGGAAAGAATTCTGGAGCATCTTGAATTAAAACAAAGGAACCAATTCAATTAAACATTCAGGCATATAAAAGCCTGGGCCCCATTGCTCCAACATCCTCTTCTCTCAACTTAAGTAAAAGGAGCAGCCCACTAGCAAATGCTGAAAGAAAATTGTGGACTAATATGACCTCACATCAACAAAGGCATTTCAACATTCTAGATCAGAAGCTACATCACAATCATCCTTCTCTGCCAATATTTATAGGAGCAGAAAGGTCTCAGGATTTAAACACGCAACACAAAAAATAGCCTTAAAATAAGTAAAAGGTCAGACACCAGCTACTCTTCCATACACTATTCATGAAGAATTATTTGCCAACTCTGCCCATTCCATCACCACAACAGCAACACAACACTGTGGGGAATCCCACACACTTGACACACCCTAAGTAACAAGATAGACTACAACAACCAAAAAACAGAGCCCTCTCCCCCAATATCATCTTTAATCCAATCCAGCTCCTTCCCAATCCAAGTTTTATCTAGAACACAGGTGGGCAATAAAAGAGTGGTGGTTTGCTGGGGTTAGCCCCCCCAATAGGCTGATGCCACTATATTTACCAGAGCCTCTGAATGTATGGGCAGCTGCAGCTCCCATTGGCTGTGGATCACAGTTCCCAACCAGTGGTGTCTCTGTCCATGCCATTCCTGCAGCTCCCATTTGCTGGGATCAGCAATCCGCAGCCATCAGCGATCTGCTGTAAGTATTTACCTGTGCCAGGTATGAGCAAAGCAGCAGTGGCCTGCAAGGGGCTAACCCTGATGAACCTCTGCTGTCTTATTGGCCACACCTTTATTAGACACTATTGCCAATCCAAAGCAATTCCTTAAATTCCTCTTAACCAACACAAGACCACAACACATTATGATTTCATCACTTGTAAGAATCCTAACCTGATATGGCTTACCAGAATTTGGTTGTTGAACACTGTGGGCCTAGTGATAGCTCCCCCTCATGCTAACTGAGTACATCACAGATTCTACTGTATTAAAATGAATAAGTAGCCATTCTACTCCAAATTGACCTCAGATGAAAGAGTCTAATCAGAGTCTTTCAAATGCACCTATTACATCCAGCATTCTGGAGATAAGAGCAACATGGATATGTTACTAACATACCAGGTTTTTACGCAAAGAGGTTACTTCAGAGAGCTGATTGAGATGGTGTCTAACATGGCACTAAAGTTCCCAAGACTCAGTCAAGGAGGTCTGCAACATCTCACTGCTAACACCTCAAACAGGATGGCTCAAAACCAGTGCTTTCATATACAGGTGATTTGATCTTATAAAATATACTTTCAGTCCAATTAGCACTTCAAGTCCTAGATAGACCATATCATACAGGTAAAGATCATAACTGTCCCCAGTTTCAGAAAAGAAAATCCGTAACTACCATAGGCAACTTCCAGAAGCACAAGAGTACAGTGAAATTCCAGATCATTCATGAAAATTCCACTCAAAGCGATCAAGTAATAAAGCTTATAGTGAGACACTACAAATAGTCTGACCTCTGCCTTCAACCCACTGGCACCAAAGCAACTTCTCACCTATAGATTCCTATAATTCTGAGGCAGAGGCAGCAAGTAGTAACAAAAATTAGAGTCAATGGAAGCAATCATAAGCTGACAGAGAGAATGACACATAAGGAGTCTTTCAGATAGTATACATCAATAGAGCTTACATTACAAAAAAGAGACCTTTTAAAAGAGATCACCTGTACCCAAAGTACATTGAATATTAATTGCTTTGTTGATCTCAGAATGTCATCTCTCAGTACAGTAACACAGTATCTCTCACTGTGAAGCACTATCACTATCCTTATCCAAGGAGAATGGCACAGAAGCTACTCCTACAAAGAGAAGCAAAATCATGTTGTATATATCAAGAGGTCATTAATTGTTTCCAACTCTAATCTTTATGATCAAAGGAAATAGTATTTATCCATAACATGGTCAAGTATTATCTCAGCGTCTGCAAGCGCAAAAAGTTCCCTAGAGAGCAGAACAGGTGTGACCAAAACTTTCCGATGCTACTTCTTTTCATTAAGGAACAAAGACAAATAATTCAACTGCTATACAACTATAATAATTGCGGTCAAATTCTCTATTCACAACTCTAACACACACGCCCACACGCTAAGCTTTAAGTGGCACAGTTCACAATTCTCAATTGACACAGGGAAGTCAAGAAATATGCCTTCAGCTAGAAAAAGTGCCCCAAAAATAAAACAAAATAAAAGGAACCAAAAACCCTTCAGCTTTTTCTAGCAACATCGTAAGAGGCACAAAAGTAAACTCGAGCAGATTGCGATGTCACCATAACCAAAGACTCCTCTGACAACATTAAGCCTTATTTTAAAAAGTTGCTGATGATGCTTCCAGAAAGAAATACTTTCTTACATGTCTAAGAAAGTACAATTTAAGTTCCCTAAATAAAGATTTGGTTAGGATATTGAAATTAACATCCTAAGTCTTGGGAAGTGTTGCTGTGTTCAAAGGACCAGACATCAATTATGTAGTATTATTATAGAAATGTAGCTCCACGAAAGGTCAGTCACTGCGAGAGAACTTTGGCATTTTACTATAATGTTATTAGTGTCCACACACAAGAATACCTCATAAGGTATAATACCTCATAAGGTACCACAAGAGCCCATCATGTCTTTAGGTAGCAGAGTGGACCCCAAAAGGAACTAGTTAGACAGCAAAAGACCTGCACAGGTATCAGGGAATATTCCCTATTTCTCTAGACACTGTATGCAAGTTACGTTGCTATTTGTTTGTGCTGTGTGCTTGGGAAATGAAATATTTAGACATTTATACTCCACTCATCTCTGTGGAAGCCAAGTCCTAACCTTCTACCAGTTCAAGGATCTGACTTTTTAAAACCTGGCAGCAAATATTTGCTGATTAATATTTAATGTAAATCATTGTAATAGGTAAGTTTATTCTTTAGACTGTCGATTTAATTTTGAAATAGGTTTTTAAAAATTTAAACCTGTACTAAAATTTTAATAAAAAAAGACTGATTACAGGCAGTCCCCGACTTACGCGGATCCAACTTGTCGGATCCGCACTTACAAACGGGGCTCTCTCGCCCCGGAGGTCGAGGTAGCGGATTGCTACCTGCGAGCTCCGGGGCGAGAAAGCCCCGTTCGTAAGCTGCTCCAGTGCCCCTGGTCTGCTGCAGACCGTCTGAGGCTTTGCCGCTGCTGCCGCTTCAGTCCCCGTGCCCGTGG